TGGGCTTTTTTTTAAGAGGGTGTGAGTTTAGGCATTGGTGGGTGCATTTAATCAGCTTTTTTGGCTGCTGGATAGAGACTCCTTTCCTCATTCTGCTCTGTGAAGATTGTGTTCACAAATGGATGGACATTTTGGCTTTGTCATGCAAAGATGCCACAGCTGGGCCATGCCTGATTTATTTCATATATCTGCAGGCTTCTGCAGAGCAGGTTATGATTTTCCTTCTCAACTCTTTTCCCCTTGCAGAGGTCTGCAGTGAGGTTTTCATCCTCTGCAATCAGTTGTTGCCCTGCTGCTCCCAGGAACTGTAGTCTCAAAACATCTCTCATGATTTTGTTCAGAGTCAAGGGAAAATTCCCTTAAATCTGCTTCCAATCCTGCTTTATTAAGGAATGGTACCAGTGAATATAGAAGAATCTGGTTATGCACTTTGTACTCACTAAAATGTGACATTTCACAGCTTATCCCCTCCCCTTCCTTGGGGGTTGTCTATAGGGCTCAGCTGGAATTCTGTTTCCAGCCAAATAAAGCCCAAGTGGGGCAGTAATGCTCCCTGTGGAGGGGTGGGAAGTGCTAATTCCCTGAGTTTAATTCCTGGAGCAGCAGCTGTGTGTGCCACCTTCCATCTGCAGGAGGAGTGAGCAGAGCCTGGGCTGTGCTGGTCTCTGTCCTAGCTGAGAGGGGATCACCCTTTAACCTGTAACAGCAAACTGTGAAATCAGAGTTGCCATCATCTCAGTTTAGAGAAAACAGGCAAATTAAAAATATATCCTCTTTTTATTTTTTGACTCATCATGAATCCATTATTTGTCCAGACTTTAAGGACTGTGAAATGCAAATCTTGGGATTCTGCTCTGGTGAAATCTGGTTCATTACGTTGCTGTTAACTTTCCTGCCAGTAGAAGCCCAAATGAAATCGGATGTCAGAATACTTGGGGATGATATCTACATTCTAACACACTGTGAAAATATTTACAAGCTTCCAAGATGAGACTTTTCCTGATTAGGGAAATCAAAGAATAGTTTTCCCAGCAGGCCTGCAGTTAGCTCATCCAAATTGCTTCTGTTTTAATTGGCATGCATTTCCTCTAAGCAGCTAGGAGATTAAAAATATTTGACTTGGGCTCTACAGGACTGGAAGCCTCTTCCCCCAGACACAGCAACTCTGGAAAAAAAAAACCAAAACAACCCAACTAAGCAGCCAGCTCAAGTTTATATTGCAATTTCTACAACAAAAAATTCATCTTTGACAAAGTTCCAGACCAAGGAACAGGCTGATATTCTGACTTTTTAATGAGGAAAATAAGGATGGTGTTTTGTTTTTTTTTTACTCAGGTGTTCTGAGTATGAAGTTTTTTGTTACCTGAGCTGTATCTAAGCGGGCTGGGATTTTATCTCTGCTCCACAGCAGTCTGCTGTTTTCAAATGCACTTTGGAACTTCTTTTACTCAATTCTCTAGTTTCAGAAGCATTGGGAAGAATAAGTAAAACTGAATAACATTCATTAAAAGTGACTGCTTTTGTCTGGGAAAACCAGCTACTGTTGTGTGTGAAATTAATTTACTGGAGTTTTTATTTCTCTTTTGTTGAACGTGCCTGAGGAGGGATATTTTCCCTACAAGTTGTTCTCACAGGGAGTGATGAGACCAAATCTGGAGGATTTGGAGGAGAGGAGGAGGTGACCCTGATCTAGGATGGTGTGGAAAACTGTGCTCTCAGGATTTGGGGATGGTGCCACTTTATGTTCCAGGAAGATTTTGGTTATGGATTAAACCTGCTGAAGCCCACCATGGATAGAGCAGTGAAAGCAGCACCCAGAGTGTGAAATCCAGCTCACTTTATTTAGTGGGCATTAGGATATTAGATAATTTTGATTGAAAAATGTGCCAGTATCACCTTCTTTAATCAGGATTTCTTGGTAGTTCACTTAGAACGTCTTGAAAACATCAATACCTAGAACATGTAGAACATCTTGAAAATATCAATATTGTGAGGTTTTTTGTAAAATAGCCCCTTCCCTCACCTCCACCCAAAAAACCCACCAAACAAAAAACACCACCCAAAAAATGAGCAAACAAAAAACCACCACCCAAACCCAGTGTAATAATGGGATTTCTTGTGGATGAGACTTAATTTTCCCATTTGTGCTATCTGAATGTATTTTGGAAATGCAAAGCCCCATGATGGGAATATTGCCACATCTATTCCTCAGCTTTTGGTGAAAAAATATTCAATATTCACCACTTAGGAGGAGTGAGGTGGTAGCGTGTCAGTCCTGCCAGCCTGGTGAGGGGGCTGGGCTTTGGCTAGGAGAGATTTTGGGGTGGGATGGAGCTGAGGATCCTGTTCCATGGGATTAGGGAGCTGCATTAGCAGGGAATAATGTCAGTCACACTCTGTGCCTGCTGTGTTTCTCCATCTGCCTCTCAGAAACACGAGGTGGTGTTTCCTTGGTGGCACAGCATTAGGTGAGTCATGGGCAGCACAGACTGCCAGTGATTTGGTTTGGAAGCTCTGAAGGAAGTGTAAACTTCATATTTGTTGTTTATTGGTTAATATTTAATTGGAGGTGAAATTAAAAATTAAGCAGGCAAATGACTCATGCTGGAAAGCAACACACTGTCTTGCTGTGGCTGACAAATGACAATGTATTTCTAAGAACAGAAAAAGAAAATATTAATTTATAGCACAGGGAGCCTAAAGAGATGCTTTGATTGAGAGGAGTGGACACATCCCACAGGAAGATAATGGAGAAAATGTCTTTGCTGTGTTTAGTACCCTTTGCATCAGAAATGAAATTAGTAGATGGCTCTCTTCAGAAAACACTCAAAGTTGGCTTTTTTCTGTGGTGTTATGGAACAGTTTAAGAATCATTTTATTATTTTGGAGCAACGTTTAAAAATATTTTTTTTTTTATTAGAGCAATGTTTTTTCCATCTTTTCTCTTAAAATCATGGCTGTTCGAGATGCTCAGCTTTCCAAACCCTAAACTGCACTTAGGAGCATACTTTATTGGGGTTTTTTTAAGCACTGGAAGTAGAGAGCAGCCTGTTATTTCAGCTCTCTGTTATCACCACTGTAGCCTCAGAGTCTTTCTGACAATCAGACCTCAATCTGCATTTTGCTGTGGCTGGCAGCAGGCAGAGCCTGGGATGCTGCTGGTAGGAAGGAGGAGCCCTGTGTTGCCTCCTGGGATGAAGCCTGTTTCACTGGGCATCTGTGACATTTCTGGCCTGCAATTTTTTTCCCCAAATAATGCTGCAGGCTGATGCTATTTCTGTTTGGAATACTGATCCATCCTGTTTACAAAATGACAAAGCAATAGTGTGAGTAAGGCCTTTTCTTCCTGTTGCATATAGGGGATTACCTAGGGATGGGTTGAGGCTGAGCAGTGCCCAGGATGCAGCCATGGAGAGCAGAGTCTGGTTCACCATCTCCTGCTTGGCAAATGAAGATCCTTTTTAATTGCTACTTCTAGTTTCTCTTTGTTGTTTCCTGTAAAAACATTTTGTGCTGAAATGCTCATCTCGTGAATGTGAAAAGCAATATGTGAAATTGAGGGTGGCAGAAGTTCTTAGCACTGGAAGATACATCAGTAAATAGGATGGGTGGAAGAAATGTATAGCAGTTGGCTGGTATTTGAGTTCTGGTTTGTAATATCATAGTGAAACTTGAGCTTCCTTTTTTTTTTTTCCTCTAACTTTTTTCCTCCACAGAAATCAAAGGAATGTTGAGTTTGAAGCTATAAAGGAGAGGACTGGTAGAGGTTCAGTTTTGTTAAATGAGCAAGGTAACTCCAAATTAGTGCTCACACACGTCTGATCTTTGTCACTGCAGAGCAATGGCAATGTCTTTAGAGAGTGGAAATGGCAAACCCAATGTATTACGTCAACTGTAGCTGAGTGGGGGATTAAAATTATTGCACAAATATAAAACCAGGACTTGAAAGGCATTGGGCTCCTCTTGATGTGCTTTATCTGGGCATTTATCTGTAATTTCCACTGGGGATTGCTGTGCCTAGAAAGTTCAACGTGTGACCTTTGCCTGTGACAGGCTGGTCAGTTATTTGGCTGCTGAGGTGCCCTTTGAAAGATATTTTTTATTATAAAAACGATTCTGAGACCTCTAGATTAGACAGTGCACTCACACTAACCAGCTTGAGGCAAAAAAGAAACCTTTAATCTCTGTTAAAACTCTGTGTACCAAATATAATTATTTGCAGTATTTAAACCAACTTCATTAGAATATGGGAAGGGGAAACAGGTTTTAAAGGCTGGCTTTAGCAAGTAATCAACTGTCTCCCAGATGGTCTAACTGGGACTCGTTCAACAGTGCACATAAAAAAGAAAATAAAAAAAGGGGAAAAGAAGAAAAAGAGAGCCCAGCAGAATGCTGTGTGTGGCTGTGCTCAGGGGAAAGGACTCCTCATACACTGCTCTGCCTCTTCCAAGGCAGACATCCCATTGCATCCACGCTGTGCTCACTTGCACAGAAGGCAAGGCTGCAAGACGTAATGTATTTAAATATAGTCTGCATTTTTGATGGTGAATCTATAGTTTTCCCCCAAGTTTCACCACCCTTGTGCTAAAAACCAGTTTTGGTTTAACCCATTATGAAAACTGGTAGCGTTTAACCCATTGTTAACCTCGGAGCCGTATCGGGGAGCCTTTGTTCTGGTCAGAGGACAGCCCGGGGTGGCTGTATGGAGCAGAGCACGTACTGGGGGTGCATCCTGCACGCTGGGCTAATCGCTCACTAATTAATATTCATGACTCATCTCATTTAGCGGCTGCTCTTTGGACTCGCTGCTATTGGTGCTGGAGCTGTGGAGAGCTTTATCTAAGGCAGAGCCGGTGTTGTCCTGCGGTGGATGCTGCCGACCTGCAGCACCTCCAGGACACCCCACCTTGGTGCTGCACAGCTCCTCTGAGATGCCACAACCCGTTTGACACCATCCCATGTCCCACCTTGTAATGAGTCCTTTCTGCTTGTTCCCAAAGGTGCAGAGGAAGAAATGACCATGTAGATTCTACAGCTTGGGTGCAACATAATGGGAAATGGTGAATGGAGTGGAGCTGGTCTGCAGCCTTGAGAGCAGCCATTCTGTGACCTCCAGTCTGTCAGGGACACCCTCCGCGCCAGGGGCATCCTCCACGTCGCTCGCCGGACACACGCGGGATTCTTTTTAATTTCTCCGATTTGGAATTCGAGATTCCTCTCCTTCAATTTTTAAACAGTTTTAAGATTGTATCAACTACAACGAGTGGAGCAATATAACCAGCCACAATGGGTGACATGACAAATAGCGATTTTTATTCCAAGAACCAAAGAAATGAGGCCAACCATGCAGGAGAGTTTGGGTGCACACTGCAGGAACTGCGCTCCCTCATGGAACTCCGAGGGACAGAAGCAGTAGTAAAAATTAAAGAGACTTATGGGGAAACAGAGGGGCTCTGCAGACATCTGAAGACATCACCAACAGAAGGTAAGCACTTCTTACTTCACTTGAATTAGGGGACTTTGTGTAAATGCTCTCCCGACAGTGAAAAAAGAGGTTTTGATTCCTACCTGAACAGAATTCTCATTGAACTGCCATTATTCTGAACAGTAAAACAAGAGTCTCCTAAGAAAGAAGGTAAACCAGGCCAGCTATAACAGAAGCTGGCATGAGAGTGAAATGAGTTCTTCTTGTTTTAGCAGCTAAATGCATTAATTCGTCCTTAAAATGACACCAAAAAAATCAGCACGTTTTAGGCAAAGAGACTTTAATCTCTGTGCTCCTGGGGGTAAGAAGGTGCAAAATAGTTGCTCCAAAACAGCTTCTAGGTATTTGAACGTCTTGAGAGTCTGAAATGATCTTCTGAGATGTACATCATGATACAGTGTCGATTAATATATTTTTTATATTTATATATCAATTACTAATCTTCACTTAATATATTACCATAAATAATTTTGCTTAAATCATCAGTCTGTGATTGTATCAATGTTTTTATTAGCTGCACTTCTGTTGTGTATAAAACTAAGCTCCATACTTTCTTATGCTTAATAATACCAATTATAAATTTCCAGTATCTATTTTTATAAGTCTTTTTAGGGGCTTCTACTTGATCATTTATTAGTCTGGCTTTCAATGCTCAAACCAAATAGCTCCCGATAAGCATTGACAATGGGGCAATGTTTACCTCTCCTCATACAATTTTCTTTCTCTTTAAGTGCAAATAAAATTCTGTTTTATTCTAAGAATTCTATTTTTGTCACTGTATTTTCATCTCCAAGGAGTATTAACACTTTTGGAAATTACACAGTCTTTCAGTCTATAATGTTTCTGCAGTCTTGTAAAGTAGCCAAGATGTTCATTTCAAGTTATTTTCTTTTTCACAAAGATAGAAGTCTTGGCTTTGTTCCATTCTCTTCTTTCTAAAATTAATCATTTAGTTACCTCCAGTGTTTGAATGCCTCAAAGTCTGGAATTATTGGTGTGATCATAAACATGTCAATTGTAGTGTGATACCATAAATTACCCTAGCTGAGGGGTCCCAAAGGAGCAGCTATCAATGTCTCAGCCTCAAGAATTCCATGTTCACAGAAATTAATTCAGTGCTGGAGTCTCTGAGCTGAGCTCATGGCGGTGACTTCAGTTAAGTTTTGCCAACTCATTCTAGTGGTTACCTGGTCAATGTGAACTTCAAAGGAGATGTTAATTGCATTATGTGTTCAATTTATGACATCAGGGAAACTCAATTCCTCATATTGGAACAGAGTGTATGGATCCAGCAGCGTGGCACACTGACTCCAGCAGTAATCTATATCTGATACTGCAGATAAGGTAACTTTCCTCCAAGCATTACGTGCACTTCATCACTTGTGCATTAGGGAAAAACCTTTCCAGCTTCAAATGGCAATCAGCATAGCCTTGGAATCGTGAAGGCTCCGCTGGGTTTTAATTTTCAAGTGGATCACATAATAGGAATTCCCAGTCACATGAAGCTTACATCTTATTTTTAATTGTTTTGCTTGGAAAAATTTGCTGAAATGTCTTGTCAAACCCTGGAAACTTTCACTGGAGAGAAAGTATCCATCACAGAAAAACTTTAAAGGCTTATGGCAAACATAAGCTTATATTTAGTTCTAAGTCCCAAGCCATTGTTTTTCTGGATTCCAAGCTCAGTGAAGAGGATATTCACTTGGAGACATGACTATTCTTAGAGGAAAGAAACATAATAATTTCTTATGTGGAAATGAAATCCTAACATCAAGCAGACATGATTTGAAAATTAATTATTGGCACACTTAGTCTTATCTTTTGGTCTCTGCAGCAAACTGTGGATTCCTCATTGAATACCTTTATGATAAAACCACAATTTGCTACTGTGCCTGAAAATCACTTTTCCAACCAGGCATCAGTTTTGTGAAGCACAGGTCACAGAACTTCCTTTGTTTTTCATACTTTGGTGTGCTGCACATCTCACGTGGTTTTATGGGAAAAATATGAAATAAGAATTACTTATTACCAGGGCACTTCTTTGAAGAAACCAAATGGCTGAGCAGGAGTCCTGAGTGACTGTGAAACAGTGAAAAGGACCTAACTGTGCAACTCGGTTCTTCCTTGCCTTGTAAGCTCTTCCAGGATTTACCTGCATGAAGTCCTTGTAATTTTGTGGGATAAGTACTGAAACAAATACCAGAGCAGAGAAAAAAGTTTCCTGCCAGGGACATGATAATTTGGTAAAATGTGGCCTAAACTGAATTTACTGGTTTATTTAGAAAGCAAGAAGTAGTCATGAGCTCAGAGCTGACTCAATTAATTTCCCATGTTAATATTTGATGTCACACCTATGGATTGATAGCATCAATCACACTTAGAAGTGCTTTTTGAGACTGTTTTAAAGGCCCTGAACTTCTCGAGTTAAGACATCATATTTGTAACTCAGATGCCATTGACACTGCTGTGAGCTTCATTTCCCAGTGAACACCGGTCTCAATTCAGCATGGAGCTGGAGAAGTGTGCTGAATGTTGAGTGGAATAATATCTGAATTCCAAATGAATTAATAATATTATGGGTTACAAGACTTCAGTCTCTCCTTTAAATTTTCTTTGATTGCTCCTTTAGCTATAGATGCAGTGGAGATCCCAGCTCTCAGTTATGCCTGAGGGATTTCCTGCCCTAAAGTGATTATATTATAATGTAAAGCTTCCATTTAAATGCTCATAAAAAGAACCTCCCAAAAAATCTATGGAAATCATTTACATGAAAAAATACACATATGTGTCAAATTTGCTTTAAAAATATTTATGTTTAGATTGGTTTCACTTTCATTGTCCCAGAAATACCACATATAGGCAGGATCTAGCCCTGTCACTTTGCAAAACAATGCTGAATCCCCCCTTGGGCAGAGCTGTGCTGACAGTTGTACAATTTTCCATGCAATTGGAGTCTCCGAGGCCCACTGGAGCATCAGTGATACCTTATAAAGGACAGCTGGTAAAATGGGATGAGTTTGTTGGATGAATACCAAATGAGAGTGGAATCCACTCTCTCCAATACTTAACTATGTTTACCCACAATTTTATATAATACCCACCAATTTAGAGCAACTTTTTCATCTGCTTTCCCTTATAAAAATGTTTATTTCATATAGGAGTATGTGAGTGAATTAAATTCCCTGATTTCTTGCTTAAAATATTTGGATGCTGCAATTTCCAGTGCACGTAAAAAGTGAAGGATTCACTGAGTGTAGGATGATGGAATACCCTAAATGGGAAGGGATCCACAAGGATCCCCTGGTCCTGCACAGACACCCCAACAGTCCCACCCTGTGCATCCCTGGGAGCGTTGTCCAAAGGTTCCTGGAGCTCTGGCAGCCTTGGGGCCATGCCCCAGCACAGTATATTGAAGCTGTTTAAATTTTTATATGAAGGAAGAACCTTTCCCTGGTGGTATCTGTGCAACCACACCCCAAACAGGCGCTCCAGAAGGTGTCACACATTGGTGATGATGTTACAGCATTACAGAAGTCTTTCTGTTAGTATTTACTGGATACAGAACTGGTTAAGGTTGTAGAAATGGGCTAGTGGCATGTACTGGGGGAGAATATTTCAGCTTCATTTTATGTTTTTATTTTTTCTGGCTGTAGGTCTCAGGATACCATGAAAAGGTTTTATGGAAATACACAATATCAATTAGCAGTTAACTGATAATATTTCTACTGTAGAAGCTGACTTTTTAATAATCACAACTGCCCTTAGTTGAGCTACCAGAGAAGTTCTCTCTTTTCAAATGTGTATTTGATGTGTGGGGGATACAGGGAGAATTAATTGGGAGGTATGTTTTATTTTTCATTATTTCAATCTAAAAAAACTTTCACAATTTTAACGATGAGGTAGAAGATGAAAGATTGAATGCAACAAAATTAACCAGCTGCTTTTAATACTCGTTAGTTTTGGTTCCTCACACTTGCTTCTATTAAAATGCACCTTTAATAACTTAATAGTCTGTTTGGAAGCTGCTCTTGCTGGTTCAAACTGAATTGCAGTCAGGTGCACCACTGTGTTCAATGAGCTACAGAGATGCACAGAATTTGGAAAGGAAATTGGGAAAGGAATAAAAGTTGATTCAGACAAATAGAAGACTTGATTCAGACAAATAGAAGTTTAAAATAGAAATATAAAATAATTGATTCTATGACTGTCAGAGACTGAGCTTTATTTTAACACATTGTCAAAACAGACCATGAATGTAAAGAAATTTGTGATAGCATCATTTTCATTGTTAAAGGAATACAGTTGGTCATGTATTAAATATTATCCGTAAGTTCAAGATCTTCTTACATTATTTTACATTCAAGGTTAGGATAGATAATATTTGATTAATTTTATAATCTCTTTAAAAGGAATATTGCCAGCTGTCTGAAAGTAGATTTGATGAGTTTCTTTGTGATGTTGAGCTGAAGTACATTGGAAACCTTCAAAACAGCACTTTAAAAGCCCTGTAGGAGCAGACCTGCTCATCCTCTCTCCGGATCACCACACTGCCTAATTCCTCATCCTTATTTGTGGTGTCAAAACATCTCTTGTAGTTCAGGCCCATTTGCCAACCCCCCAGGCAGCAGCCAAGCTCCAAGTCCACATCCAGCCCTTATCTGGACGTGTTCTCCCCGCACGGAAGGTTTGGTTTGAACAATGAAAACAGCCCTGGCCATGAGAAATCCCCTCAGCACTGGCAGGGCCAAGGCCTTGCATGGAAAAACCCCACGGAGGAGCTTTAAACTCATATTTAACCTGGCTGATCCTGCAGTGCCAAGTGTGGCCGAGCTGCTGAGAGCTTGGATAACTTGGCATTTTTGGGTGGTTCCATCAGTGGGCTGCCCCAATTGTCCCAACAGGCTCCCAGGGACCTCTCCTTGGCAAAGGGGCTGGCTCTGTCCATCAGGGGCTGGCTAGGAAGGAAGGAAAGGGCTCCTGGATGCTTCTTCATTTGGAAG